CTGCTGGGATTAATCTTGTCTCACATTTTAAATGTTATCCTAAATAAAGTTTTAATATCTGTTTTSAGTTTGAGTTCAAATGTAATAAAATAAATATTCCTGGTAAAATCATATATCTGTCTGTTTGTTGTTTCTTTTGATTAAAATTAATATTTTAGGAAGACTTCAGTTTTAAAGCACACATGTGGTTTAGTCAGCCAGCAGGTTGACTTTGTGTTTACAAAAGACTAAATTAATGARATTTTTATCTTGAATTCACGTTTATATATTGTGTCACTTTAAAAAAACACGGATTAGAACACAAACATAAACTAAATGTTCAGATGTGTGTGTACAGAAAAAACAGCGGAGTGAGACGTCTCTCTGTTTTTGGCCTATCTACAGTCACACCAACTCTCGCGAGAGTTGGGCCGCAGTTTCCAGAAATCTCGCGGTTCGTCCGGCTCATCGAAACAAGCCGTTATTTCCTTCTGTTCTCGGTTTAACGGGATTAAAGTCCCGGTGTGAAGTCTCAGAGGTAAGAAACAAACCACAGTCTGACCGGACAACGGTTGGTTTCAGCCGTTTGGTGGGAATCAGGACGGAACCGTTCATGCTAACACCATTAGCATTGCTGCTGCTAGGCTAGGCCTTGATCCTCCTGTTGTGCAGCAGACTTTGTTAGCTCAGCTTCCAGTTACAGTRCAGGTTGTTCTGGATTAAATAATCCGGGTGGTTCTGTTCTGCTCCTTCACAGTGTGGACYCGATGTCTGACAGCGACGACAGCGACTTCTCCGACAACCAGAGCGAGCGGAGCAGCGACGGAGAGGCCGAGGAGGCGGAGGAGAACGAGGTTTGATGCTAACAGCATGATGAAGCCCGGCTCGGTTCGGCTCGGCTCGGCTCGGTTCTGATGGCTGGGGTCAGACAGACACACAGAGGGAAACAAATGTAAAGTGTGTTAAAGACAGGCCGCTGCAGGTTTAAACACAGTCCGTGCTTCATCCAGTGAACAAAAGTTTTTACTGTTTAAAGTCACTAAGTTATGAATAAATAACATGTAACCGTTATATTTCTGTGTTTTATAAGRTGTTTTACAACATCAGTGATTAATGATTATCACACATCATGAAATCATAAAAAGAATATATTTTAAATAGTTTTAAAGCTGATTAATGTTTTGATTCAAACACAARAGATCTAAAACCTTAAAAAGTGACAACCAGTGGTGTTTGCTCTGACTCAWCTCCAGTTTAAACACAACCGTTTTTAATCAAACATGTCATAAAACTACAGGGATATGAGATTTTAATAATGTTCATGTCACTGGAGCTGTGTAAAAACTGGTGTTTCATGTTTCTGACATTAGTAGACATACACAGATTGTGTTTTTGACATAAGACATGCACTGATTGTGTTTTTGACATTAGTAGACATACACAGATTGTGTTTTTGACATAAGACATGCACTGATTGTGTTTTTGACATTAGTAGACATGCACTGATTGTGTTTTTGACATTAGTAGACATGCACTGATTGTGTTTTTGAACAGCTCTGACCTGCTGATGTAATGTTGTTTCAAAGTCAGACACATTCAGGATGAATCACCGTAGAACAGCTGACTGATGACATCACTGTGACAGCTCCTTATTGTTGTACATGACAACATCCAGTTAACACATTTCTCCCAGTGGARCTGTTGATCCAGGCTGTCTGAGGTTAAAGTTCAATGAGTGAAAAACTAAATAATGTTTCCAGCTACAGTTGAACTGATTAAAGTTATTTATGACAAATGATTAACCTCCAACCACATAATCACATTTATTCTCATGTACAGTTTCATGTAAAACAATCAAATGTAAAATTAAAGTTCTATTTAGGCACTGATGATGAAAGTTAGTAATAACATTACAGTTCATCTTTACTCCATCAGGGTATAAGTGATCATCTACCCATGGTTTCTGACAGATAAACAAACAAACAAACAAACAAACAAACAAACAAACAAACACACAGCTGTAAAGTGGGTGGGATTACTCCACATTAAACCCTCATTTATCCAGACTTCAGACTGGCTCTGACTCAGACACGACTTATTTTGTTTTTGTTGTGTTTGTCTTCCAACAACAAACAACTGTAAAATAATTCATTTAAAATCTTTGTAAAGATGCTTGTTTCTGCTCTCTGCATGGATGGTGCGTTCAAGGACCAAAGGAAGGGTCAGCTTTCTCACAACTGTTTTTATTTGTTAGTTTGGTTTCAGGTGTGTGTGTGTGTGTGTGTGTGTGTGTGTGTGTGTGTGTGTGTGTGTGTGTTCCTTCATTCTGTCACTCTGTCTCTGTCTGCTCCACCAGGAGGAGGCGGCCAGCCCTGTGGGCAGTGATAAAGTAGCAGACGAGGAGGGTGAGGACCTGGAGGATGAGGAGGAGTATGATGAAGAGGAGGAGGAGGATGAAGATGATGACCGCCCGAGGAAGAAGCCAAGACACGGAGGCTTCATCCTGGACGAAGCCGGTGCGAGGACACGTTTACCTGCAGGCTTGTGTGATGGAAATGGGCGGAGCTTGAACTCACACCTGTCTCTCTGTGTAGATGTGGACGATGAAGATGAGGATGACGATCAGTGGGAAGAAGGAGCTGAGGACATCCTGGAGAAAGGTGAGGTGGTCTTTTCTTTCTTTAAACCTCAAACTGAACCAGGTGATCTGATTTCTGACACAAAACAGTTTTATAAATAAATCTGCTTTAAATGATGTTTATAAACCTGTTTTTAAWGTCACTAACTGCACCTTTTTCTTCTCTTGGTCTTAATCAGAAGTTAGGTGTTCCTAAAACACCTTTGTGTTAGTAAAATAACAGCCTGAACAGGTCACATGGTTGTTGTGTGTTTGTTTTCTCACACAGCTTTCAGAGCYCTGCACATCTGCAGCTCATTGAAAAATATTAAAGTTTTTCATTTGAACGATTTGAAGAGCTGTCAGCCGGACCCCCAATCACACGTGTCAGGGGGAGTGATGAGCTGGACATGTGTCAGCACTTCAATCAGTTAGTGGTCAGTGATGGTGTGTGTTGGTTGACACACACAGACACACACACAGTGATGGTGTGTGTTGGTTGACACACACAGACACACACACAGTGATGGTGTGTGTTGGTTGACACACACAGACACACACAGACACACACACAGTGATGGTGTGTGTTGGTTTACACACACAGACACACACACAGTGATGGTGTGTGTTGGTTGACACAAACACACAGACACACAGTGATGGTGTGTGTTGGTTGACACAAACAGACACACAGACACACACACAGTGATGGTGTGTGTTGGTTGACACACACAGACACACAGACACACACACAGTGATGGTGTGTGTTGGTTGACACACACAGACACACACACAGTGATGGTGTGTGTTGGTTGACACAGACACACACACAGTGATGGTGTGTGTTGGTTGACACAAACACACACACAGACACACACACAGTGATGGTGTGTGTTGGTTGACACAAACACACACACAGACACACACACAGTGATGGTGTGTGTTGGTTGACACAAACACACACACAGACATGGTGTGTGTTGGTTGACACAAACACACACACAGTGATGGTGTGTGTTGGTTGACACAAACACACACACAGTGATGGTGTGTGTTGGTTGACACAAACACACACACAG